CAGGTTCCTATGCAATATTGCTCTTTACAGCATCAGACTTTACTTCCATCACCATTCACATGCACAACTGGAAAGAAATAGAGGAAAACAATAGAATGAAAAAGACTAGAGATCTCTTCAAGAAAATTAGAGATACCAAGGGAACATTTCATGCAAAGATGGGCACAATAGAAGACAGAAATGGTATGGACCTAACAGAAGCGGAAGATATTGAGAAGAGGTGGCAAGAATACACAGAAGAACTATACAAAAAAGATCTTCATGACCCAGATAATCACAGTGGTGTGATCACTCACCTAGAGCCAGACATCCTGGAATGTGAAGCCAAGTGGAACTTAGGAAGCATCACTACAAACAAAGCTAGTGGAGGTGATGGAATTCCAGTTGAGCTATTTAAAATCCTAAAAGATGATGCTGTGAAAGTGCTGCACTCAATATGCCAGCAAATTTGGAAAACTCAGCAGTGGCCACAGGACTGGAAAAGGTCAGTTTTCATTCCAGTCCCAAAGAAAGGCAATACCAAAGAATGTTCAAACTACCACACGATTGCACTCATCTCACATACTAGCAAAGTAATGTTCAAAATTCTCCAAGCCAAGCTTCAACAATACATGAACCATGAACTTCTAGATGTTTAAGCTGGATTTAGAAAAGGCAGAGGAACCAAATCGAATTGCCAACATCCGTTGGATCATTGAAAAAGCAAGAGAGTTCCAGAAAAACATCTACACCTGCTTTATTTACTATGCCAAAGCCTTTGACTGTGTGGATCACAACAAACTGTGGAAAATTCTTCAAGAAATAGAAATACCAAACCACCTGACCTGCCTCCTGAGAAATCTCTGTGCAGGTCGGAAAACAACAGTTAGAACTGGACATGAAACAACAGACTGGTTGCAAATTGGGAAAGGAGTACGTCAAGGTTGTATATTGTCACCCTGCTTATTTAACTTATATGCAGAATGCATCATGAGAAATGTTGGGCTGGATGAAGCACAAGCTGGAATCAAGATTGCTGGCAGAAATATCAATAACCTCAGATATGCAGATGACACCACCCTTATGGCAGAAAGTGAAGAAGAACTAAAGAACCTCTTGATGAAAGTGAAAGAGGAGAGTGAAAAAACTGGCTTAAACTCAGCATTCAGAAAACTAAGAGCATGGCATCTGGTCCCATCACTTCATGCAAACAGATGGGGAAGCAGTGGGAACAAGGAGACTTTATTTTGGGGGGCTCCAAAATCACTGCAGATGGTGACTGCAGCCATGAAATTAAAAGACGGTTGCTCCTTGGAAGAAAAGCTATGACCAACCTAGAGAGTATATTAAAAAGCAGAGACATTACTTTGCCAACAAAAGTCTGTCTAGTCAAAGCTATGGTTTTTCCAATAGTCATGTATGGATGTGAGAGTTGGACTATAAAAAAATCTGAGCACCGAAGAATTGATGCTTTTGAACTGTGGTGCTGGAGAAGACTCTTGAGAGTCCCTTGGACTGCAAGGATATCCAACCAGTCAATCCTAAAGGAAATCAGTCTTGAATATTCATTGGAAGGACTGATGCTGAAGCTGAAACTCCAAAACTTTGGCCACCTGATGCAAAGAACCGACTCATTGGAAAGGACCCTGATGCTGGGAAGGATAGAAGGCAGGAGGAGAAGGGGACGACAGAGGATGAGATGGTTGGATGGCATCACTGACTCAATCGACATGAGTTTGAGTAAACTCTGGGAGTTGATGATGGACTGAAAGCGTGGCGTGCTGCAGTCCATGGGGTCACAAAGAATTGGACATGACTGAGTGACTGAACTGAACTGAGTAACTGTTTACTGGCCACTAGATTTGTGGGGCTGCAGGTCAGATATGACTGAGCAACTAAACAACAAAATAATTTTGTAAATATTACATTTTTGAGTGTCTCAATTTTGTTCCTTTATTTAAAGATTGTTATATAGGCATCAAAGAATGTTTGACAGGCAGTAAAGTAACTTGCAGATCAATTTGTTTCTTTCAAGGCTGGTTTTTAAACTTATTCAGTTATGTCTGTAATTACCTTTATTCTAGAACTAATTTATCCCTGTTACTCAAGTGTGACTCTTCTGTGGTCTCCACTATAATGCCCTCAATGTTTGCTCTACCCTAGTTGGGTAAAACTTGTAGCTTTCCCAGTCTTGTGAAAGCTGTAGAGATTATTTACACTATAACTTTGCAACAGTTATCAGCCCAACCTTGTGCAGTTTCTCTCTGTGCATCTATGATAGACTGAAGTTGATGTCTGTGCTTCTTTCTGAAGTCCTTTTTCTACAAAGCTTCTTCCTGTCAAGTACTCTTGCCCACATATTCCAATTGTCTCAGTCCACACAAATACTGACCTCCATCTTCTCCACTCAAAGAATCTGCTGTGGTCTGTTTAGGTTCTTCCTACCTGCCCTGTGTTCTGTGGGGCTTACCTCATTTGCTGTGTTCCTGCCTTTATCACTGTTCTGCACTGCCTCTTGTCCAATGTCTGGAAGAAAAGCAGCTGCTTCATATATTTTGTCCTGACTTCTAGTGCTTTGTGGTGGGAGATCAATTCCAGAATCAGTCACTCCGTTGTAGCCAGAGTAGAAAAATGCTGCCAAGCTTTATAAGCTTGCAAGTGAAAACTAAACTAGAATGAATGGTTCTATGATGGAATAGAGTACAGGGGAAGAGATTCAAGGGTAACTATTTAACTTTATGTAACTTTGCCAGAAGTTTAAGAAGTGCTTCATATTTAGAAACATTTTCTTCTCAATTTCAAAATAAAATTCAATAAAAATATTTATTTTTGAGAATTAGAAAAAGTTTTAAATTTAGACACTATACTTCCTCCACAAAATAAAGATTAATCTGGCAGTTTTATAGGTGGCACAAGTAGTAAAGAACCCACCTGCCGATGCAGAAGACGTAACAGGCGTGGGCTTGATCCCTGGGTTGGGAGAGTCTCCTGGAGGAGGGCATGGCTACCCACTCTAGTATCCTTGCCTGGAGAATCCCATGGATAGAGGAGGCTGGCAGGCTATTCCATAGGGTCGCAAAGAGACACGACTGAAGTGACTTAGCACAACACTAATATTGCAGTAGTGTTCATTGAGATCAATGATGATGATGTAGCAATAGCTGCAGCTTCATTATCTGGGTGAGGCAGCTGATGGCGATGAAAACATTTATTTAAGCACCTGCAGTGAACCAGGCAGGATTCCCAAGTGGCTCAGTGGTTAAGAATCATCTGCCAATGCAGGAGATGCAGGTTTGATCCCTGGGTCAGGAAAATTGCCTGGAGGAGAAAATGGCAACCCCCTCCAATATCCTTGCCTGGACAATCCCATGGACAGAGAAGCATGGAGGGCTATAGTCCATGGGGTCACAAAGAGTTGGACATGACTGAGCATGCACGCGTACATCCAATTAACCAGGTACTGTGTTAGACTCTTTATATTGATCTTTCTTCTTCCACAGCAGTTCTGCAAGTTAGAAATCACGATCCCCAGAAACTCAAGAGGTGAAGTTAATTCCTCAAGCTTACAGAAGGGAATATTCAGTGCTTAAAATACTCAGCAGTAATTTAGTGGCTCGAGCTGGGACACAATCTCAGATCCCTACCAACAATGCCTCCACCATTATTATGCTGCTCCTGATTCTATCTTCACCTGAGCTTTCCCATCTGGCAAATTAAAGTGAAAAACAGTTAACTCCCTCCCCAGAGAGGCTGTGTTATTATATAGATGTTTTGCATTATTTTGCTTTGAATAACAGCATATGTAAATATGTTCCTGGAGGTTAAAATTACCCTTATTTTTTAAAACTTGGCCTCTCCCACTGGGGTGAATAGTTGAAAATTACAGGGAAGAAAAGGCAAGCTGGAGAGAATGTTAGTCAGCTTGAAATTGCCTTTCCTCCCTCTGTACCCAGCACGCATTTCTCTTTAGATGGAACCTGCCATGGCAGAGTAAAGATGAGTAAGTTTTCTATCACAGAGTCCTAGCTGGTTCTGATATCCAGTGTTTAGGGTGGGTTAATCCAGATATTAATCATTGACTGTGCTTCAGGCTGATGTGTCCGGGCAGATGCTCTTGCTGAGCAGAATACAAGTCTCCTGTGGTACCTGGAAGACTTTACACAAATGGTCGGTCCCTAGACAAGTCACAAAGGGATTCGAGCAAACATGGGCACTTCCTGCCTCAAATATCCACCTCTTGTTGAGGAGTTGGCATGTCCCTTCGACTCCAGCTCTCCCATGGGCCTGGAATTGTTGAGTCCTCCCTATCTTAAACTGCCTTTTCTGGCATTTGAATCATCACTTCGATGATGTGATAATATCTGCAAGTTGGGAAAATAAAAGTGGCATTTGTTTAGCCATAATTAATGAAATATTTATGTTGCATGAGACTATGTGATAAAACCTTAGGCTTAGAGTCCTTTTGCTTCTGATTACATTTGGGATTTTTTTTCTATGACCAGACATTCTGACGCCAGCCCTTTTACACTGAGCAGATGTCATGTAGTAAAAATGGGTGCCAGATGCTGTGAGCCGCAGAAGGGCGATTTGTTTAAGAGCTGGCTCCGACTTTTTTGCATTCAATTACTCTGCAGAACGAACCTTACACAAGCATTTAGGTAACTCAGCTAACTTCAGACACGCATTTTAATAATAGATTTCATCTCTGAATGCATTCTAAGCAACACACCATATAAATGGTGTTTAAGGAATTAATTGATTTCTGCATAATACCTTTCTTTTTTTTTTCACATGAAAAGAGAGCTGCCAAGCTCTTGGCAGGGACCCAGAAGTGTAATTAACGTGGAGGGCCAAATTTTCAGTTGCCCTTAGGTGCTGCGGCTTCATGCTCACGGCAGGTGCAGGGAAGGGAGTGTGGGGAGGGAGAGAACGGGGGTGGCAGGGAGGAGGGAGGGGCGGCTCTGGGTCATGAAGCAGGAGAAGAAGCTAGGAGTTTCAAGTGAGTTCTGTTCCCATTTCAGGTCCCACGCATGTCCCCACCAGAGCACAGGAGACAGGGACTGTCTCTTCCACCTCTTCCTCCTCCGCAGATGAGGAATTCCACCCCCAGCCTTCCTCAAGGTCAAAGGTAACAACACTTGGCAAACCAACAGGGGCCTTGGCTTGTGGGGGCCGTTTTACCATCCAGATTTCAGACCCAATGTGGGCTCCAGCTGCAGCAGTTTCATTAGGAAGATCATGTTTCATTGCATCTGACAGCAACCACTCTTTTTTACCTGAACACCCTAAGGATTATCTTTATATATATATGTGTGTGTGTGTGTATATATATATATATGTATATATATATATATATATATAACTTTTAGAAGCTTGCCTTTCTCAGAAATGTCAAAATGGGAAGGCAGAAAAAACCAGACGTATTTACTTGAAACCATTTGGTGACTGAAGCTCTTAAAGTGGGTTTAATATGTGATCCAACAAGCAAACCATCGAAAAAAATTACAGCAAGCAGATGCATATTTCCCTGGGGGAAGCACAGCTTCATTTAAGAAGCACTAGAGGCAGATTGCATGGAAAATGTTATGTTTATTCTAATCAGAAATGCGAAATGAACCATGCAGTTGCTTCGAGACTCCGAGGATCCCCACTGACTAGCTGAGCACCGGCAGAGGGACAGCCGTTCTTCTCTTTGCTTAATGAACATTGGTTTACGGAGCCCCCTTTAAATGACTCCTGTAGCCATGGATTTAAAACCACAAATGTCGCTGTATGTCTTTAAACGCATCTGTGTGTCACGTATGTGGAGACATGCATCCCGTGACCAAATGCTCCATTGTCTCCTTTATGCACTGGGGCTGGGAGGGCTGAACGGCCGGCCTGCATGTGCCTCCTGGGCGGACAGACAAGCAGTTCAATGCTGTGGCCGTGTTTACTCTTTGGAGCAGTGAGGATCTGAGGAGAAAGAGAGAGAAGCAAGTTTATTTACTGAACTCAACTTTTTCGTAGCTGGCACTCCTAGTGCCAGCTCTGGCGTCATCTCACGTCACTTAGCGGCTCCACTCCCCACGGCGCAGCTGGGAGCAAGTCAGGAGGGGACTGGGACATGTGTGGGGGGTGGGGGGAGAGAAGACGGCGGGGAGGGAGAGAAGGGGGAGAATGGGAAAAGACAATACTGAGAGATTTCTAATTTCTGACTGTGGGCGTGTCTGATTAGTTTGGCACTCAACACAAATGAATTCTGTGTGTTGATTTCTAGGGTTTCCCTACGGCCCTCTCACCCCCTTGAGTGACCCTAAGTTAATTCTGTATTCAAATGAGGCAGAGACCCCAGCATCAACCATCTTGACACTCATGGGAACCAAAAGAATGGAGTGGTCCAAAGCTCTCAAAATAGCCAGACCCTGATAACCTAGGGCAAGCCTTCCAAATAGCTCTGTTGTCTTCCTTGTGACCCAGAACAGAGCTGATCATCATATAAGCCTGCAGTGTGGTATAGCTGGGCTTCCCAGGTAGCACCTTGGTAAAGAATCCGCCTGCCAATGCAGGAGACATGGGTTTGATCCCTGGGTCAGGAAGGTCCCCTGAAATAGGAAATGACAATCCACTCTCAGTATTTTTGCCTAAGAAATTCCATGAACAGAGGAGCCTGGCAGGCTATGGTCCATGGGGTTGCAAAGTCAGATATGACTGAGAAGGCATATATGTGGTAAAGCTTGCTGGTGCTTCTGGCTTCTGACATGGCCCATTCTTCAGGAAGGGAAGCTGGCAAAAAGGGTCCTTCTTTACCACTTCTCAGAGCTCACACTGAAGGAATAGAAGGAGTGTTTTCCCCTCTGGTTTTTTAGTCTATTTTGCCCCATACAGATATGTCCACAACCACATGGCATAGAGCCCATATCAGCTCCGGTGAACCTTTACACAGGAAACTGGTGTGTGTGTTAGTTGCTCAGTCATGTCTGACACTTTGCGACCCATGAGCTGTAGCCTGCCAGGCTCCTTGTTCATAGAATTCTTCAGGCAAGAATACTGAGTGGGTTGCCATGCTCTTCTCCAGGTCAGGAAACTGAAGACAAAATAAATACCCTCACCTCTTTGCTCTGCACCCCTCCCCTTAAATTAATGCCTGAATCTGACAGGTGGGGAGAAGCAGCTTGTCTTCAGCCCTGCCAGATTTCTCTCTTTCTCTGTCCTTTATCTTTTTCTTCCTTAGCCTCTTTCCTTTCCTTTCTGTATCGTCACCACCATCACTGAGGACGTAAGAAGTGTGCCTGGTACTTCGTAAGGTTATATGAATGTTTGTTGATATATCATCCTTTTTCTCTATATTGTCATCTTAATAAAAGACAGTACAAGACTTTCTTTACTCATCTAGGTTCTGCTTTGCTGACTCTTGATAAAGGAGTTGGGCTTTGGCAACTTTGCTGTCGTAAAGTGCTGAGATGGTATGAGGCTGTCAAGGCATCCTTGCTGAAATTGTTTGAATGGTCTTAATTTAGAGTGAAAGTCTGATATTTCTATAAAACAGAGGTGCTTGATGTACCTGCACTGTATTGGGCATGGGAAAGACAGAATAAACTAGATGGAAATATGGACACTTGGATTCAGGTTACCTGGGCTTAGCTACTGGTGCTTCCAATTCCTGATTGTGTCATCTTGGGTAAGTTATTTAACTTCTCTGAGTTCTGATTTCCTTGTCTATTAAAAAAAAAACATAATTTGAAGAATAAATAAGATGATATTTGTGAAGTAATCAGTATAGTGTCTGGCACATAGCACTCAGTACTTGCTGGCATTTATTATGTAGATTAGTATAATGAGAGCTTAAGAGATATTTGTTAAATAAGGGACTGACTCTCCACAGAGATTGAGTTAGCCAATCTCTGGACAACAACTACCAGTGATTTCCACCATGCCCCTCTCCACCCCAGCCTTCTAAGAAAGGTCCCGGCCACTTAAGTAGGGGTTTCCTCATCCAAATGGCCTGGAACCTCTGCAGTGGTTGATAGTCAATCTAGAAGTTGTCCTAGACTTGTCATGAAGACCTGGATCAAGTTTTGTAAATGCCTCAGTTCTGAGTGTTCTGTATTCTACTAGCCCAGGCACACAGAGAACCCGGTGGTATTAATGATTTATTTGTACAAAGTGAAGTAGGGAAGGAAAGCAATCTTCTGCCTTGATAGAGAACATTTCTATCATTGCAGAAAGCTTTGTTGGACATCATTGTTCTAGAAGTTAAGCAGTGGTTTGGTTGGAGAGGAGAGAGGCTGTGACAGTATTTTGTAAGTTTCAACTCCATTTTTCTTAGACATAGTTTTCTTTTTGTTTTTTGTAGGAGAGGAAGACACTCAGAAGAAGGAGGAAGCTGGAAAAAGCAACAAAACAATTGGTTAAGCAAGAAGAATTGAAAAGACTTCATAAAGCTCAGGTCAGAAAACAAACGAGTGAGTGGGTCTAGGTTGCTGGGGATCTGGGTCTGGAAGCCATTTGGAAATCTGTATTGAACTGGAGAAGCTGAGCTGGGAAAAGGTCAGTCTCTCTTCTCGAAGCACCAGGCTTGTGGCTGTTCTGAAGGCTGTGGTTCAGTCCCTGGTGGGGCTCTGGGGCCAGAGAGCCCAGGTGTTGAGTTGGCCCATTCCCAGCTGCCTTTCCATCTGCAGGCGTGTGTCCTACAAAGTGAGCTGGAATGGCAGCCAACACATAGCCTTGGAGACCATCCCAGGCCCTGACTGCCACACGCAGTGGCCTTCGTTTTGTCTTCTGTGAGGATATAACCTCTCGAATTTCTGACAGTGTCTTTGCTGAACTGACAGCTCTTGGGGCTGTCTCTGTTCCAAGGTTAGTTGAACACATAAGCATCTACCATTCTGCTGTAGACTTCCTGGCCTAATTGTTTACTGCAAACATTTTTGCTCAAGTTGATCTACCCACCTGCAAAATGAAGCAGAAAGTCAAGGCACTTCCCCTGTCCCTGAGGACCCCAAACCTAGCCTTGAAGAGTAGTTGAGTTTTTGGACAAAGGGACCTAAAATGACCACTTGTGTTAATGCAGTGTACCCTTACATCCCCTTCTCCAGTAACTCACTTTATCCAGTTGTGTAGTCCGATAAGTTGTTTCTGACAAGAAGGAGTCACTAAATCTAACCTTCTTTACTCTTCTCAGTGGCTGACTCAGGAGCCACCCTCTTCACCTAGCAGTTGGGGAAAATTAAATTCCCTCTGTCCATCCTCACCTTCTGAAACAGGCTTTCTTGAAACATTTCAACTTTTCCTTCTGAGAACAAGATATCTTTATGAAACAGATTGGCAAACTCAACAATTTCTTCTTATATTGGGTTGACCGAAAAGTTCATTCGGGTTTTTCCATAACATCTCATGGAAAAACATCCATGAAATGTTATGGAAAAACCCCAACAGATTTTTTGCCAACCTGATATTTCTACTCCAGATAGTAGACAGTGATAACAGAAGAATCACAGTAGCCTTCTGCGTCCTAATCTGCTAGCAGCATCCATACCCGCCCTGTATAATCTTTGAGATTTTTGTTTCTAAAGAATGATGACTGTATCAATCAGCTTGAGCTGCCATGAAGACATACCACAGGCTGGGCAGCTTAAACCACAGAAATTTATTCTTTCACAGCTCTAGAGGCTGGATGTCCAAGATCAAGGTGTCTCCAGTGTTGGTTTCCGGTGAGGACTCTTCCTGGCTTGCAGACAGCTGCCTTCTTGCTGTGTCTTCACATGGCCTTTTCGTGTTTGTGCATTCAGAGCAAGAGAAAGAAAGAATTCTGGTATCTTTTCCTCTGCATGTAAGGACACCAGTCCTGTTGGATTAGGGCCTACTGCTATGACCTCATTTAACCTCACCTACCTCCGTAAAGGCCAAACAGTCACTTCAGGGGTTCGGACATCAATAGATGAATTTAGTGTGGGGTGGAAACTGCTCAGTCCATAACAATTACATAGCCATAATAACAAAGCAATCAGTCATAAAGTCATTTAAATGTTTCCCTTCCTTTAGCAATGCTATACTCTACCAGCGAGAGACAGATCTATAAAGATATCATCATTTTTAAAAAAGAGACAGAGAGGAAGAAAGCATAAAATTACAAGTAGTTTTAGTTAGAATTCCCATCTATTTCAGACTTAATGTTTGGGATCTAAACACTCTCAGCTAAGACAAGAAGCCAGGTGGCTGCCGAGTGCCTGCCCCTACGCTTGCTCAGGCCTCGTCACAGATTAGAGGTGCCTCAGCAATTGCAATTTGACTCCAGGGGAGACTTAGAACAAGGCAGAGTTAAGGAGGAAGAGGAGTGAGACAGAGCTAGGAGAAAGTAGGGAAGGAAGGACACACAGGTTATACCTGCCCAAACAGCTGCTGCTTCCTTGAAGGTGCCTAGTGCAAAGTCTGTTCTGCCAAGAGATGTGCCTTGTGGCAGCATGCGATTAAAAGCAGAGAAAACTGATGGGGATGAACAAAATGTATATAGGAAAGGGATTTTTTTCCCCCTTAGTTTTCCTTCCTGATACACACAAGAGAGAAATAGCTAGTGGGGAAGCCAAACATGTAAATACAAAGCCCATCATGACCCCAAGCCTTGATAGGTAACTACAGTAGTCTAAGGAGGATATGCCTTAATGAAATAAACATCTCTGTCTTGTCTTAGTAAACTGCTAGCAACAAGCCACAGTACCCTTCCGCAGCCAGTAAAAAGCCCAATGGTGCAATGAAATAATAGGTTGCCAATCTGTAGCTCAGGACAGGGGCAGGGCAGACTGCAAAAGGAACACCCAGCCCCAGGAGTTGGCTCCCATCTCCTGTTCCAATGTCTTGGGAGGTATCTGCTGGTTCTTCTTAGGACAATGGAATGTGAGCATGCTCTGTGCTTGTCTCCGGAGATCCTGTCCAACTCTGAATGTGGCCGGTAGCTCCAGCAGCTGTGCCATGACCATGGTCAGAGGCCGAGGCTCCGAGGAGTCCAGCTGCCCACCCAGGCCGGCGGCCTCTGCCTGACAGCATGTCTGTATGACTGGCCTGGTCCAAAGGGGCTGACTCCTTGGAGTCAGATTGAGCTTACACACAGACTCCTTGCTTTACGTTTTCATGTTAAAGAAGAGAACTATCAAATTCCAGCTGTTTGGGGAATTCAGAGATTCTTGCCCAGTTTACTGAAGAGCTGGCAACACAAGAGAAAGGGCTTCTTCCTCTCGGAAAGCAGGTGGCAGAACTGTCTCGCTTGTTTGACTCTGCATGTTGCAAGTTCCTGCATGACACGCAATCCTGGCATTGCAGGCCATCCAGAGGCAGTTGGAGGAGGTGGAGGAGCGGCAGAGGGCTTCCGAGATCCAGGGCGTGAGGCTGGAGAAGGCGCTGCGAGGAGAAGCAGGTAGGCATCACTGTGGGCGCATCCAGTGCAGTGGGCTCAGGCCTGGGACTATGGTCTGAGAAGAGTGCTGGTCTAACCATCCAGGCAAAGCAGTGAGGCCTTGTCACCCGCTGCAGAACTCTCAGCGCTGGCCTTGGTGCTCAATCTGCAGCTGCTTCCCACTTGCAAAATCAAACTGGTCATCCAGTTTGAAATTCCCAGGACATCAGTTGGCCTGTGAGCCTTGGGTTTCTGGCCTGTCCAGTCCCTCTGCTGCTATTTTCTTGCAATTCAGGGAATGAGATAAATTCAGGAGAAATAGTTGAGTGTTTCAAGCAATGTTGGTAGAGATTCAAAGCTGGACTTGGAGTCAAAGTCCTGATTTCTGCCTTTACCACCTGTTTCTCCCTTTATCAGCTGTAAGGCCTTGGATCACTCATGTTCTAAACCTTTATGAACTTTTGTTTTCTGTTATTAAATGTGGATAATAGTGGTTTCCTATCTTATGGAGCTAAGATAAAGATTAAAGAAGAAATTTTATATATATATATACACACACACACATATATATATGTATAGTACTGTGTTCGTCACTCAGTCATGTTCAACTCTTTGCAACCCCATGGACTGTAGCCCACCAAGCTCCTCTGTCCATGGAATTCTCCAGGCAAGAGTACTGGAGTGGGTTGCCATTCCCTTCTCCTTGGAATCTTCCCCAATCAGCACATTGCCTGGCACAAGGGAAAGCAATAAGTGATATCTATTCTACTGATAGCTTCAGATTCTTAGATGCAAACAGAATTCATCTGGTGAAGGCTTGCCTTATGTTAGACATGGAGACAATGTTTCTATAACGATAAACACAGTTTCTGGCTTTGAGAAGTGTGTGGTCCATTGAGGGACACAGACGTAAATAAACAAACCATAGTATAGGTGGATGAGGGTTGTGAAGGGAACAAGCGTTAGGGAAGAATGAGGACAGGATCATGGGGTTCCTAACTGATCTCAATGGGGGTGGGGGGGGGAGGGGAGGTCAGTCAGGCTAATCACCTGGAAGGGATGATCTGTTAAGACAGGAACCAGAAGAGGAACAGGAGGTGACCAGGGAGGCGAGGAGACTGTTCTGGCAGAGGGAACATCACTTGCAAAGGGCAAACATGAAATGCCTTAATGAATGAGGAGCCGGCAGAGGGTTTTGGGTGAGGGATAAAACTGGAAGAAATCTATGTGTTTTTGGAAACCATCCAGCAGCGTGTGGCTAATCAATTGGACTTAGTGGTGGGCATTGTCTCTTTTTTATTTAATTGAATTTTATTACAGTGTTGTGTTAGTTCCAAGTATACAGCAAAGTGATTCAGTTACACACACACACACACATATATGTATGAAAGTGTTTGTCACTCAGTTGTGTCCAGCTCTTTGCGACCCCATGGACTGTAGCCCACCAGGCTCCTCTGTCCATGGGATTCTCCAGGCAAGAATACTGGAGTGGTTTGCCATTCCCTTCTCCAAGGGACCTTCCTGACCCATGGATCGAACCCTTGCCTCTTATGTCTTCTGCACTGGAAAATGGGTTCTTTACCTTCTAAGTCACCAGAGAAGCCCCCATTTATATGTGTGAACACATCCATATACTTGCAGGCATTGTCTCGTCAATTTTCTGATGTGATATCTTTAGCCTTCTGTAGCTTGAATATAAAGCATGAAAAAGCAGATACTGAAAAACATATATTTCTGTGTGCACTCGTGTAAACAATGTCGAGAAAGGTTAGGACTTTAATTCTCTTAAAAAGTTAGCAGATACAAACTCAGATTTTGTGAGACCTGAAGTTGGGGGCTACTCCCAGAGCCTTACAAAGGTGCATCCACTTGAGAGGTCCTATGATTTCAGCTTCAGTAGCTGCATGGTTAGTGTTTCTCTGGCGATGTCAGGGTCTGAGTTACTTTTACCCCTCTGTGCCTCAGTCTGTGTTTACAAAGTGGGAGTGACAATTGTACCTGTTCCTCAGATTTATGTTGAAGACCAACCAAAACAATGTATATGGAAGCCCTGAGACAGTGCCTGGCATGGGAGAGAGATGGTTAATAAATATTTGTTCCTTTTCTTACAATACTCTGTGCATTTCCTTACAATAAGAACCCAAATCCACCCATTGGAAGTAGGGTTTTTTACAATAATGATAACTGTTTGTCACTACTTGGAGTGAGGGTCACAGCCTGCCTCTACAGCTGTTGTCAGGGCTTTCGATACAATGAAATCTTTGGTCATATTCCCAATCAAGAAGGCTAGGCACTTGTCTTTCGGAATCTGCTGACTTCAGTGAGAGACCTAGAAATGAAAAGGATAAACCAGCAAAGCTAGGACATGTTTTGGTTTGCTGTGGAGGCAGTATGGCATGGTGGGGTAGGCATCAAAGAGCCCCGTGTTCAAATTCTGTTTCACTGCATTTAGGCTGTGTAATTTTAGGAGAATCACTTAACCTTTCTGGCCTCAGGTTCCTTGGAGTAAAAAATGGGGCTAATAATCCTCACATTACTAGATCATTTTGAGAATTAAGGGCATTGGTGTGCCAAGAGTCTCACAAGAGTTCCCACCACATTGTAGGCATTCAATAAATGGCTACCTGATATTACTTTATGAAATATTATTAAATATCCTGCACTTTTAAAAGAATTGAGTCTCTGATCTTTATTGCTTGAAATTTAAAGTCTAGAAACCAAATTTGTAAAGCTCCTGAAAAATCTCCCTCACTGTAAAGAAAGGCTATTTTGAGTTATCAGCTAAAGAAACTCAGCCAGCTTACGGTGTTTTCAAAGGTAGTATTTCCCCAGCCAGAAGATGGATTCTGTTCATTCCCTTTATATCCTTGGTAATTTAATTTCCCTGTTAAGTTTATGGGCCTTTTTCTCCTTGATTGTCCTTGTGTGGGTGACAGATGCAGATCAACAAGGAGCAGGAGACCGAAAGAGTCAAGTCACAGCGGCCCCAGAGGAAACCAAGCAGGAGATGTACAAACCAGGCATCGAAATTAATACACTCCAACTTGTAATAACATTTGTGCAATAATATTCCTGTGCAGTTTAATATTCCACTCAGCCCCTTTAAGAGATTGCCCTGGTGCTTAATGAATGACCGATGCTTATTAGGTTAAGTTGTATTTGAGCTGGCCTGGGCTGCTCTGGTTCAACTGATTGAATGGGAATTATTTAATAGGTATTATTAGGATAATTAGAAAATAATCACAGTTAGACAATAATATTGAACTATAAAGGTTGTGAATAACCAAATTTAGAGACAGGCCTGAAAACATGAGTTGTCTGCGACAGTTATGCAAGTCTCCTCCGATAGGGATGTGCACCAGTCTGAATGGGTCTTTTGTTCCTAGGAGTTATTCATTAGGCGGGCATTGAATTAGAGGAACATGCGGGGGTGCAGGACAGAGGGCAATGATGGCTGATGAGCAAAATGAGCCTTTGATGAGCTTCTAATTGTCGTGACAACAATTCCTGCTTTCTCTTTTTCCAACAGTCAGAAATAAGCTCTCCCACCCCCAGGAAGGGTTTTTCCCCATTTTGTCAAGGCAAGGGAAACAAAGAAAAACAAAAATCCACCCCAGATAACAAGTCATTATGTTCTGTAAGGTGTGTTTGTGAGTGTGTTTGTGTGTGTGTGTGAGATGTCCTTCACGGAGGGAATGGATTGTCCTGATGGTTTTAGCTGCCCAGAGTAAAGGACCACGATATGCAATGACCTGATTGCCCTGAGCCTCACTCTCTGTGAGGAGGTCAAGTTGAGCTTTGCAGCTGCTTAGACTCTTCTTGGTCAAATGCTATTACCTACTGGTTTCTTGATTGTCAACGTGGTGGTCAGTGTTATGTGCAAGGTGATGGAACACCCCAGTTTAGCAGGAGACCACCATTCAAATTTAGGTGAAGTAAATAACAGAATCTGTGCTTTCTTTCAGTACCTGGAAACAGGTAAAATCTGGTGAAAACTGAGATCGGGAGTGTATAGGAATTATTCCTCCCCAATAGCTTTACCAGCTTTGAGGAAGGCTTACCAGTTGGTTGCCTGCGTTGAGCTTCTTGTTTCTTTTTCCTTAGAGTCAGATGGCTTTTCCTTCACACAGATAAGGGGTTTACACAGAAGTAGCAGGCTGGCTGAGGCTGCCAGCAGGTGGCAGCAGGAGCATACATGACAACAAGAAAAATTGCAGTGACCTTTAGGGCGGAAGAGGGAAGTAGTTTGGCTTCCACTCTGTGGTTTTTATCTTGATGGCCACTGAGGAACAGAAGGAATAATTATTTCTTGGATAATGAAACAGCAAGGTGTCCTGCAAAGAACACAGATAGTAAATTCAGACACTCCTGATTTCGAATCTTGATGCCATTCATGGCAAAGATTCTGAAGCTGGTAGCTAAGCAACCAAGGAATTTGGATGGGTTTGCCATGCTCTATGTGCTGAAAGTAAACAGTGAGATTCAGTGCAGCAGAGCAAGGGAGTTTTTACTCGCAGCACAGCAAACGACAAGAGCGGCAGCATGGTACAAGTTGCCCTGTATCCAAGTGCTGGGATGTGGTCTGAGAGACCCAGATGGCAGCGGCACACACAGTGGATTGTACCCCAGCAGAGGAACTCAGCAGCGTCTATAGCAAGCAGTCAACAAGCCTGCCCCTTTCCCAGGAAGCAAGTAATCTACTTGACTGGTTGCAGGAGTGGCTCAGGATCATAGGATGGTTAGTCCTTGCTGTTTGCATACTCAGCGAAGACATGCAGGAATGCTCAAGATTTACAGCAGACTGCCTCTCTCAACAAACAGCAATAATCCATTTATTATGTAGTCACCTCTATTTCCAGCCTCAGTAGCTACCTAGTCAAGCAGTGGCCTTATTACAGAGATGGACCCAGTGAGGGCCAGACTAAGGTTCTCTTCTTGAAGAAGCCTTGGGTCATCTTTCCATTGTATGGATCCTGGGGTCATTGAGTTATGTGTTTCAGAGTTATGTGCTCTAGGCAATT